CTCGATATACACATATACATACATAATTGTACCACTATATAAAACTAATGATTAATGATTTCATTTTGCTTTACTTTATTATTTATATTATGTATAAAAACTCTTAACTCATATTGTTAATTTTAATTTTATGTCATTATTTTTTAATTTTTTTACTGCCATTGAGTTTCTTTTATATATTATATAATTGTATATAATATTATTTTAGCTTATTTTACCTTCATAACATATCTCTTTTTATTTTATTTTACTTTTTCTATATATTTTTGTGCTTTATAATTAAATTTAATTTCGTTTTACTTTTTTATGTTTTATTCAGTTTTATGTATTTATTCTAATTTACTTTAATTTGTAAAACTTTATTTTAATTCATTTTATAGTACTTTATTTAATATTTCTATTTTATTTTATTTGATTTAATCTTATCTTCTTTTTATTTTATAATATTTTTTTTTTTGGGTTTGCTTTACTTTATTTTATTTTTTTTTTAATTAAATTTATTTTATTTTGTTCTATTTCATTTTTTTTTTATTTTATATTTTTTTGTATGTTATTTTATTTCTTCCCTTTTATATCAATTTATAATATTTCATTTATTTAATTTTATTTTATGAAATTCATCTATATATCTATTATTTTATTAAAGTCTTTTTATTTATTTAATGTTTCAAACTAAAGCCTTAATGAACAATTAAAAATTAATAAAAGTGAAAACAGAAAATTTTCAATTTAGAAAAAGGAAAAATAAATATTTTTTTGAAAGTATTAATTCTACACCCAATTGAAATATGAGCATTAACAGTTTGTCTAAATGTGTATGAAAATGCGCATAGAGTATATGCATAAATAGGCATGTAAGTATGTACATGGGAACAGTTGTGTATATTTCTATGTATGCATATATTCCATTTCCCCCTCTAGGTGTTATATTAAAGCAATTCAATTTTATTTGAATTTTCCTTTCACAACATCTCAACACCCACACGAAAAAATTACCGCTTTTATTACGATTTTTTTTTTTTTTTTTTTTTTACTGTTTATTCATTTCACACTATTGCTGCTATTTCTGTGGTCTCTTTTTGTTGTAATGCAATTGTTTCACTTGTCTCCAGCTTGGCTACCTCTGACGGCGGCAACAACAGCAACAAGCAAACAGCTAACAACGCCTGTCTCACATTGCTCGCCTTTCCCCGCTTTTGCTAAAAGAGAAATTTATGACATTTCAAGCAGCAAAGTGATGCTATAAAAATGCCCAGGCGTGCATTTGCTCTCATATATCTTAAATTAAGTAAAAAAGATAAAGATGCTTACAACGGTGTTGGAGAATGCTGAATGCTTACATGCAGATGAATGTTATGATGTGTGTGCACTTTTATATGAGTAATATTCGAAAATTTTGCAATGCGCTTGTTAGTTAAATGTCGCCAGTGGGCGAGAAGTCGCTTACATTTTTATTAAAAAGAAAATCGAAAAAAAATCGAATATTATTTTTATGTCAAAAATGAAGTGCTGGTTAGTGAGTTATGTTGGCCTAAAAAGTATTTTTAACAGTTCAAAATTTCAGTCTCAGCTTAATACTTACAATTATTTTTCAATAAAAGTTTTTGAAAAACGCACGGAAATTTGTTATGAAAATAAAAACTGCGCTTAAAAATTTTTTTTTGATGATTTTTGGAAATTTAACCTGCTGTTGATGAAAGTGTCACTCCAGAAACACCCTTACCGACACTTTCGAAGATTAAGAATTCCTCCTGCCTTCCATTCGATTTAATGAGGTCACAAAATCAAGAAGCCTGTAGCCATAAGAGAAACATACGTACTTACATTTGTAATATATATAAACAAGTTGCCAAAGTTAGCCCCGGCTTATTATTAATTTTCACTACCAAAATAAATCGTTTACCAATTAAAGGGCACGAAAGAAACGAATAAAAAATATATTAAGTTTAACTGAAGGAAATGAGAAAAGCAGAAAATAAGCAAACGCTTCGACGAAGGGCCAAAGATCAGTTTCGCGACTACGCGTTTTTTCTCTTTTACTGCAAACAGGCTTCAGCTGCCGTGCGAAAAGTTTTAAATATTTTAAAGAAGTTATTAACATGTTAATTATTTTGATGCGTAAGCCAATGCCACGCGAAAGAGCAGACGTCGTTGGCAGCAAAAAAGTGGCGGCGCGTGTGATTTTTATGTTGCCACCAACAGTTCATCACGCTGTTTAAAACAGCAACTTCATCAGCACCACACTTCAAAGTCACGCAGCCGACTCTTTGTATGGATGTGCGTGTAGGAGTATGTATGTATATGTATGTGTTAATGAAAAAGAATACAAATGATTTTCATACTTTTACTGACAACAGGCGGACAGTGAAAAGACATTTTTTATATTTTTAAATATTTTTCGATTATTTTTGTTTTAAATTTCTATTACAGCTTTTCTTCTAGTAGAAATCGCATATCAAATTTATTGCTGACTTTTCATACAAATTTCGCTTTTCAACAGTTGTGACAGCTCAACCATTAAAACGCCTCGAAATGACAATTTTAAAAATGCGAAAATAGAAAATAGAAATAAAAATATGAATAAATAAACTAACTAAAAAAGGAAATATATTAAAAAAACACAAAAAGGAAAAGAAATATTGCAGCCGTGTAAGCAACCACCTGTCTGCGCGCTATATTTTTTGCTAACGACGAGCTGCGGGCGGCGGGGTGGGCCACAAGCAAATTGCCAACTTCAAATGTTATCATTTATTATTGGCTTTTCCTACGCTTGTAGCTTCGATATTTTCTGTTTCAATTTTATATATTTCTATTTTTTGCCAATTTCCACAACCACGGTCAGCTCACAAGTGCCAGCCGGTTGCGAAGCCAAAAATCAGAAACATAAAATAAAAAAATAGATCAAAATAAAAAAATTGAAACAACAAGCAAGGATTTCAGCTATTAATTTTTATTTGGCGCACAGCTGGTTGCATGCCACACTTTGGCTTCCGTTGATGTCGGCGTTGTCGGTGGGGTACCCGGTTTGTATAGTTGGCGTAAAGTTGCTGCTGCATGCGTTGTTACGGTAAATTGGCAACAAAACACAAAATTCAACATACTAAATGGCAAGAGATATGCAAGTGCATAGTGTAGGTAAATATGCTTGCATGTGCTATGTGTGTATGTGTGTCGTTACCGCCAGCAGCAGTCAAAATATTGCCAATTACCACTGGTAGCCGCGTTAATCTTTTATTTCGCCTGCTGCTGCCAAACTTTGTGTCATTTGCCAATATTTTAGACGCGCGGCTTATCACCCGGTTGGCGAGTGGGTAATGCCATTTTTGTTGTTACGATTTCCTATACCAATTGTGTGTTTGTTTTTTTTTTATTATTAATTTTTCGAACATTTTGTTAAATATTTTTCTGAAAATTTTGTGGTATAAATTTAATATTTTTTACTGCTGCATTCGTTTTTTATAACTTGTTCACTACATTTTCACTCCATTTACAGCGATTTTCTTGAGACCAATGTTAACTTTTTGCTTGTCGACCAGCGCGCTTTTGCCCAGCAGCACAACAAGTCACGAATTTTTGTGTTTACTCAAAATTTTCGATATTTGTTTTTTCGGTCCCGTGGTTTCGTAGCAGTTTTAAAGAAAAATTGTAACAAAAAGCATAAATTAAAATTTACATATGTAGGTACAAATGTGTGTTTTAGCAATAAATTCGCTAGAGTTTGTGCTCAAAATCAAGTTCAATGTGCGCATATTTTTGTGGTTCATGTGCCCTCTTGCTGTTGGTTAAGTTGAAGGTGCTAATTGCTGGTGGGAGTTCAATTAATTTGTTTTTTCGACAAATTTACATAAGATCACTAGTATGTGCCGCCGATAGCAATTACTCTCAAGCAGAACTGGTTGCACTTTGTAAGCTTATTTGTGCTGCTTGCCGTAAATAAATTTTAGTAAATATTGGCGGATAATGTCAAACTGGTTTTCATATTGAAATCAATTATTTAGTGTTTGCGGCAAGAATTGCGAAATTTGTTTCTTAATTTTATAATAAATATTTTAACATTTATATGGACTTATTCACGCAACAAAATTTTACCTTTGCAAAAAAGCACGCAATCCCATTTTTTCTCACACTCCTTACTTCTCGTGTGTCTTGTATGTTTGCTTTCCATAGCCAATCGCTTAATTATATTCACCATTATTAGCTGTTTCAATAAATTCGTGGTTTCACACCAGACTGTGAGTATTTACATACATACCATACCCACAGTAAGCATAAGCGTGCTGAAACCTCTCGGCTTTTTATATCAATTAAGTTGAAATTACTGACGTTAATGAGCAAAGCCATTAGGCCTAAACGATTAACAACCAATCAAATTGAATGTGTTTTCTGCACGCATAACGGTAAGCCTGAGGAAATTTAATATTATACTTTACACACTTGGTCAACGATTGTATGGGTAGAAAAAATACGAAAAACCGTTACACAACGCAGTATGATTAAATATTATCATATAAACTTCACTAATATTTAAATGATTTATATTAATTTCGATGGACAGTTAAGAAAAAACATTTACATTAGGAAATTGAAAAATTTATATAAGCCTAAAAATATTTAAAATTAAATAAAAAAATGAAACCAAATAGAGTGAAATAAAATAAAATAGAATTAATATTATATTAAATTATAGTTAAATAAAAAAATGAACTAAAATAAAAGAAAATAAATTAGGATGAAATAAAATAAAATTAAATGAAACAAGAGAAAATATAATAAAATTAATTATAATAAAATATAATATATAAGAATAGGATAAGACAAAAAATTAACTAAAATAGAAATAACTAAAATAAAATATAATAAAATAAAATCATTTAAAAACATTAACCATAAAATGTATATACATACATGTTTGATTTAACTGGTTGTTAAACCCCAATTTTTATTATATATTTTTAAATTCATATTTATTAAATAATATTTTACATTCTTCTTTCCTACAGCCATTCTGCAGCGTTCGACTGTTGATGTGGGACGCATCAAAATACAAGGCGTTGCCACCTGTCTGTATTTGTGCATGGATGCATGTGGCGCTGTTTATGGTTCGGTAAGTTTGTACCAATCGTAGGACACATACGTTTAATAATAAAATAACCGAAAATCGGCTCTGGGAAATTACCGAAGAAATTTACAGGAAACACTAATGGCATTATCCTAAAAACTCAATGTCATTGACTCCTCTGGAGTGGATAATAAAAATTTATTGAATTCCACTTCATTTAATTCCTTCTTATTTGTTTTTTCTTACGGATGTTTTTCAATTGTCATTCAAAACGCATCCTTTGTTTGCACACGTCTAAAACGTGTAAATATTTATCTCTCAACACTTCGTCGACAAATTTCCAATGACAGCAAGTGGCCGACGATGGCTTTTTCTTTCCATTCCAATCATTCTTTTCATATTTTCCCCCACTTGAAGGAATTTTCCAACCTTCGTTTTATTTATTGCATTCCTCGTTATCCCTATAACCGTTAAAAGATTAAGGTAACGAATGCATATCCTTATTCTTTGCGAAGGGATCACATTGCATTCTTTTCTTTCCTTTGTAATACATTATTTCTGTTGCTCTGTAGATATGTATATGCTCTTATTTTTTTCAAAAAATGAAGACGAGATTACAAATTCGAGTGGAATAATGAACACGGCTACAGGGATATGCCTTTCATTGTTTTATGTGGAGGTCTTTTAGAGACTTTTTGTTGTAAATGTTGTATGTGGTTTTTGATTATTGGGCAGTGTTCGGAGAAGACTTCACGAAATTGCCAAGTTAGTGTTGCCCATGGAAGAGCAAATAGAAATTAGTTTTTATCGTTAGACCAAAATTTGGAGTATTATTCTTTGCTCCCGACACTTTAAATTTCATTTCCCTTATTTAATTAAATTTGTTCTTTCTATCTTCAAACACCACAGGCGACATCCTTGTCAAAGATGTCCTGCTGTGTGCGTCAAATTAATGTGACAGTTTCTGCACTTTTCCTTAAGTTGACCTTCTGCTATAGTGTCTGAGTGTCTACTAAGGACGTTTTGCTGTTCTTTTCTCGGTTCACTCAATGTTTCCTTTCTGCGTCTGAGTAACTGGTTGATTGACTCGGCATGGGTGCTTCAAACCTTATGCATGGATGTGCGTGTGTTTTTCTACTTCTATAAGAGTATTTTCGTGTGGTTGTGTGTTGCTGCTCAATTATTTTTGTTAAATGTGTCGCAAGGCATTATTCATTGACACATTTATTCCAGGGCGCCATGACTCGGTTAACAAAAGACAAGAGGCACTGATGGTTCTCTGCCAGTTTGTCGTTCTTTTCTGTAAGTACCCGTGTATTTTTTCCTATTCGCTGGGTGTGAAACTGACTATTCGAATGTTTAGTTTCTGTAATAGTTTTCCATTTATTTATTTACTCAAATGATAATTTATTTATTAGTTCCAAGTATTTCAAGGCTCTTTAGTTTCTTAATTATTTTTAATATATAAACAAAAAGGAAAAAACGCAAGAAAGCAATTATAATCAAAATTCAAGCTTTGGTTTGTGTTGAGGCGGGAATTAAATCACTTTACTTTCACTTGGTTTAAGTATAACTGACTCCACAATCTGTAGAGCGTTTATTTATATAAATTTGTAATGTGAAAATTTACATGCATGCATATGTGTACATAAGTATGTTTACATTAGAAGATTACCCACGAATAGATAATCTTATCTTATGTTTTAATTTTTATTGCTTTACATATTCATGATAAGAACATCAGTATACATAGATGCTTATGTTGTTGTAAAGGCATCAAGTATCAATATTCATATCATGAGTATGTGTATATGGACATCTGTTTGTACTTTAATTTTTATTGCCTGGCCTATAAATGTCATACAGCATATGAATTTATGGCCATACATTTTAATTGCTGGCTTATCGTTTCGGAAAACTAAACAAATGTCATACAGCATATGAATTTATGGCCATACATTTTAATTGCTGGCTTATCGTTTCGGAAAACTAAACAGTTTGTTTTGTGGTTGTACATTCGCTATTTTCGATTACTGTTGTGGCATATTTCTGCATCCGGCTACATTAACGAATCAAAATTATTTGTTACGACTGACTTTATTTTAAAAAGTATACTTAATGTACCTAAATATTTACTTAGTAGGATTTTTGTCTTAGGATTTTTAACTCTTGAAAATTTTCAAAAATGAAAGCTATTAGATATAACCGCGTCTAGCTATAGACGGCTCATATATGTATGTTTGAACTTAAATGTTACAAATCAAATTAATTTAAATAACTACAATGACACTTATCTATATATTTGCATAATTTAGGCATGAATACGTCGAAGCCTTTACCCTTAAATGAAATAAGAGACGGCTGATGGTTTTCACCGCGCTGCGGGTGTTCTACTCACTCAAGCTCGCACTTGCTTCTCAGCAGTGCCAGTCTTGCCCTTCTTCCCTAACAAGCTACTAATTATAATTATCAATATTGTTATCCTGTCGCCACAGTTGTTGCTTTTATTCCCCATCATCGTGTGCGCCACCTATGGCGGCGTCAATTGCCTCTCACGAATGTTTCATCAGCGCTGTGCAGCCCCACTCAAATCATAAGCAAAACCTCTCATTCGGTACGATTAAGCAGAGTGGTCAACGCTGGCGCGCACTAAATTATGTCGGCTGAACATTTTAATTGGAAATTACTCATTAAACATAATAATCAGTGTTAAGGCAACAAGTGCTTAACGCCGAGGCCTTTCCGCACATATCACTCTCCTACACGCTATCAATTCACTGACGATAAGCCTTTTATTATTACTTGTGGCTTATGTGTTGTTATTGGCTCTAGTCGCTACAAAGCGGACTTAATTCGTTTGTATATTGGCCGCGCTGTGTGCCTAATGACCTCCTTCCTAGCCTTTTCGACATGTCGCTTGATAACTCCTATAAATTATTTAAGTTACGCGCTTCTTTAGCCACTTTGGGGCTTTATGTATCCCACTACTTATCATCTTTTCTTTTTTTTTGTGCCTTTTATTTGTTGTTTAATATGTTTGTCTGCTGAGTGGAAAATCGTAGTTTTTGTACTTGTCTTTGTGGCGACACCATGTATGTGGTACCTTTGTTGGTTGGCGCTTTCTCACTTCCATACAAGGAAATTGTTGTTGATTAGATAGTCGAACAAGCAAACTGCTATAGGCTTTACGTAATTTGACCCAAATCGGTAATGGATTAAGTTGTAGTTGGAATTTTTTATGCGAACGTTTTCAATCATCAATTTCACATACTAATGCATTTCTTATTCGAAAATTAGAAACAATATATTTTTATGTAGGATCCAAAAGAAAGAAACTGGGACATCTTTTGACTTACATTTTTGAACGCATAACAGGATTAACCAGGCCCTTCCAAATGAGGAGCATCATATGAAGCTCGTGTTTTTAGGCGTGGGGTTTTCAATGAGGCCATACTTTCTTCGGAGTTGGTCTGTTTGACAGCTGTTACATGAGTTAAACTCAGTTGGGCTTGCCACTTCATAATGAACAGACTTGCTCCGGAACAACGTTTGCAAATCGTGCAATATTCGGTCGACATAATCGCCCAGCAGAACAATCCAAAAGCCACTATGGAGCCACCGTTGCGTACTTATAAAGTTACCGACTTTTGTCTCCTTCGGGCAGAAGCAATCATTGGTCCATATTTCTTAAAAATGAAGCCGGTCATAAGTTGGTCAATGGGGAACATTATACAACCATGACTAATGATTTTTTCGTACCTGAATTGGAGGATGTTGATGTGGAGACTTTGGGTTTCGTGACTACATTACGTTGCGTCCTGTCATGTGGCGTGTCTTCTAAGATCGTGCGATTTAACAGCGGTTGTCTATTTGTTCTATTCCTGGCATCTCTCTTAGATTATATCAGATACTTTGGCATGTATGTACATATATGCATGTAAATAAATTGACATATGTATATACATATGTATGTATTCCAAAAATAACACTTTGATTTTCCACACTTAGCACAAACAATTAAATTAAATTGCAAAAGAAAAGAGAGAAAAAGGCAAAACTAATTTAATTAAAATTGAAGTTGATGCGTCGGATGTCCCTGCAACAATGCAGCAAAACATTCTAAAATCAGCATCCAACTTTTCTATGCTTGACATTTGTTGGGGGCACAAACTTCTACATATGTACTCGTATGAATGTATGTAAATACGTGTACATACTGAACTGAGAATTTCATTAAACGCATCGTTATAATAAAAATTAGTTGCTCTTTATGGTAATTATCAATTAAATGCGCTCAGGACAAAATATACATACATAAATAATTATGCATTGTATAGATACATATGTACGAGTATGTATATAAAGGAGACATTAGTGTCGCGTAACAAATAAGCATAGACATAAACGTTATTCAACACTTTTATATATACTCGTAAGTATATACTCGTATTTGAACAGATTACATTTACATCTAGGCAATGGAGAGGGGGAAAATCGCAGATACATACAACATATATATATATATATATGTGTGTATGAATGAATTTTTATTGACGTCTCTTTGAGGAGTGCAGCCGGCACAACACTGTCAGAGCTGTCAAAATATCTTCGACTTGACAACTTTATAGGCTCGAGCGACATTTTTATAGCATGCGAGAAATTTTATTGTAGTTTGGAAAATTGGCCTTATCTGCGATCATGGCAAAAAGTGAACTACAGCAACAACCAATATGCGTGTGCATGTGGACGCAATGGAAAAGCAAGATGCAAGAAGCAAAAGGCAGGCGCAGCTCGTCGGCTTCAAGCACTGCAACAGGGGCGACGATTTTTGACATGCCTGATGGGCTGTCAAATCGAAATGGTGTGGCTGTGACTGCTGCCGCCGTCGGCGAATGTTGCATGTGGTATGTGATATTGAAGAAGTGGGCCGCCACCAACAGAATTAGCATGGCGCGCTTTCAGGTGGCGTTGATAATGTGACTGCAAGCGCAAAGAGGAAAATAATTGTGTGTTAATTTCCGCTTCGTCATGCCTTACTGACGGCT